GCCTGGATGAACAGCACGAGACGCCCATGCGTGAACCACCACTAACAACCACAGAAGAGCACTTAACTCGAGGTAGGGTCCTGGAATTTGCTATGAGTTAAGCTTGGCGTCTGGACAACTCCCGCGAGCTTGAGGCTTGCCGTCTTCGGTATCGCGATTTGAAGATCCGGTACAGCGAAGCAGTGTCCGAGTTCCACGATCGTATCTCTACCCCGGTGACGCAGCTGGCCGCCACCCCTTTCTTTGGCGTGATTTTCCCGCCTCACACAGCTAGTCGTATAGCAGATCTGGAGTCCCAGTTTGCACGGTCCTAATCTGACTTGCAAGTCGCGCGCGATCGTCAGTCTGGCCTCGCTTCGGAGCTTCGTGAATCAGCTACGTCTCACAAGGCGACTCAAGAGGAAGTATACCGACTCGAGGCCGCGATCGAGCGCAAGTCTCGTCGCTTCCGCACCTTGCGTGACAACTATGAGCGTCGTTTGAAGGTTACCGACAACACGATCGCCATACACTCCGCCGAGCTTGATCGTTTGCAGGATCGGGTATCGACACTGGATCGGGATCCCCTGCAGGCTTCCCAGCGTGTCCGCGCGGCGATTTCTCAGCGCGATCAGGCCAGGGCAGCGCATATTACTACCCGTGAGTGCTATCTGCATACCTTTTGCCAGCGTCGTACTAACTCGTATCTTGTGTCACAGAGGATCGTGTTTCAGCGGCTCGAGATACTATCGCACGGCTGAAAAAATGGATTAACCAAGTCGAAAGGTCTTAGAAGTCGCGTCAGGATCTCGAGTCCGCGCTCGCAACGCTTCAACAGGAAAGAGACGCTCTGGCGGTTCAACGAGATGAGTTGCTCGGTCAGCTTGGCGAGCGTTTCATGGAGGTCACCGATCTACGGGCTGAACGGGACCAGGCGCAGGGGAGATTGTCCAACATCGCGTCCCTTCTCCCTTCCACGTCGAGCCATAAGCGAGCACGCCCTGAGTTCAAATCTCCTACCAAGTCTGCCCGTGTCTCCAAGGCTGCTCGATCGACTTCAAGCCCTTCCCAAGCTGACGCTTCGAGTCATGCCCCTGTGTCTAGGTCCTCGATAGAGGTTCTGTCTGCTGTGGCTGCCCGCCAGAAGGCTAAAGGGTCGGTGTCATCTCCTTCGTCTCCTGGTCCTGATCTTTCTCGATCCGTCCGATCGACCGCTAAGAGTGGCAGCGGAGGCGCTTCGTCGTCCCCTGCAGCTTCTGAGGCAGGCGCGCCTTCCGACGGTGGCGAGAGCTCTTCCGGCGAATCCGGTTCAACTCGCGTCTGTGATTCAGACGCCGCGGGAAGCGATAGCAGTTCTCCGGAGTTGAATCGTGCCAAAAACGAGTTCGGCATGTCATCCGGTCCTCTATCGGACGCTGAGCCGGCGGCTTTGCCGCCTACCACCGTTCCCCGATCGGAATGGCTCCCCGGTTATCGCGATTGTCGCAGCTTTCGCGGCCATGACATCGTCCCCTGGTCTGCACAGAATATTCGTCAGACCGGCATCGTGGAGATGGACACGGATCTGCTGTTTCATCGTTTCACCAAGCCGATGGAGTGGCTAATTCCTCTCCGTGATCCCGTGCCTCCGCTTGGAGACTGGCGAGACGATCTGGTGGACGAGAACAACGTACGCAACTTGATTGAGACTGCTCCGTGGAAGATCCTTGTTGCCCCGCTTGACCCTCTCACATTCAAAACTCGAGGTTGGTTCCGGCACATGAAGCGACTTTACGCTTCTTACGAGGATGAGCATCTTCGGGCTTATTGGGACTCCACCCACGCCTTTCCGGTGAGCATTACCAAGCGTCACACCAGTCGATACTTGGACGCGTTCTACACTGATCGCAAGCAGCGTCGGTCCAGAGCTGGCGCCCGGTGGAAGTCGTTCCTTCAGCAGGTGCTGATCGGTTTGCTCCGGGGTTACTGCGACCTTGACTTGTTGCTGGATCCTTTCTTCGTGCATTTCCCTCGACCCGGCGAGGAAGGTGCCTGGTATCCTGGGATCGAGGACGGCGGCGACCCTGCCGATCTACTGGAGGCGTTGACCATCACGGACACGGCCGATCGTTGGCATAACCTTTATCGTGACGTGCCCGAGGACCACCCGGCGCTTGGGATTGCTCGTCTGCGCGGAAGGTCGTGTCCTCCTCTTCCTGATCGCGTGTCGCCGTTATGTGTAGGATGGCAGCTTGTAGGTTTCTACTCCCGTCAGGAAGGTTCCGTCCGATCTAATCAGACGTAATCCATGCGTATCTCCTTCTATTCCTTTCAGAATTCTTGAGGGTGTGTTGCCTAAGTTTTCCGGCCTATACAGGCCCACGGCACTCCATATGCACCACCTCCTCCTTGAAATCTGCAGGCTTCCTACAGATCTTTCTTCCTCTCACTTGTCCACGGTGACCAGCCCACCGCAGATGTTCCACCGCTTACTCCTCATGTGGCTCCATCCCCTCGAACCGGCTGCGATCTGTCCGTCCCCGATCAAAGTCTCTTAGCAACTCTCCACAGTTGAGATCAGTCTCATCGACCCACGACGGCTCAGCGTAGCCTTTCCAGAAGACCCGGTATTCGCGTCGTGTGCGGCCGTATCGGGTTTTCTTGTTCGAGCGCACGTCGGCGATCCGCTCCACCTCGTACTCGTCCTCTTCAAGCTCGCGTTCCCAAGCTGTCTTCGGGCAACAAACCTTCGTCGAAATCTACGCGATCTGCATCGTGGTTAGTCAGCGAGGATGTCGGACGCTCCGGGTAGCTCTTCACCAGCTTCAGCTTCGACAC